TTTCAAGAAACAGCAAAGCCTTTAGATAACCAATTGGATTTTGTAGTTAAGAGAAATTCATTACTGCAGTAATTCAGGAGAAAAAATAGATTGTTATAAAGCCTACTTCAATCTAAAAGATACAAAATATTGTACAGTACATGATTCAACTACTAATTACTTTCTACTGTATATTAAATACAATAGATTGGTTTTTTAAACAGGCCCTGAGCCTCAGTAATCCCCTTGAAGATGTATTGTGAATGAATGAATGTGTATACACACACACACACACACACACACACACACACAATTATTTTACTCTCTACATATTCTCTCATTTGTTTGGAAAAGAAAAGTTGATCAAATCAAGTCATGCACATATTGCAAATACCTATTATCCATACTATTTTTAAAAAGTGGCAAATGCATAAGTACATAGTAGCCAGCAGTGGGAACAGAATAGACTTTAGAATCACAAAAAACACAAGAGGAGGGAAAACTGGCAAGTTTCAGCACTGGAGAGATTGCAAAAGATTCCCCAAAGGAACACAGAAAGAAAACAAAAAAAGAAATTATCCATCGATTCCAAATAAGAATATTGTATTGTATTACTACTGTCATTTATCTGAAAAGCTGAACAGAGTATCTAAAATTTACAGACTGTCAAGAACTCAGATCCATTGGCTTTACCTTTTATTCCTAACATGGGACAGAACAGTAAACAGAGATCAAGTTGAACAGACTAAGGAACATAGATCAACACAATTCTGATAACAGCAGGGTGGCAGACTTCTAATGATTGCCAAAATGGCCAAAATGCAGCCATTTCTAAAGGACATCCTCAAAAGGGAAGAAAACCTCAATTGTAAAAGAGATGGAAACAGAATGACATTCACCCAAATGTGGATTCAGGTCAACAGTCAAAAGCTAGTTCAGGGGTGTCCAACCTTGGCAACTTTAAGACTTGTGGACTTAAAGCTGGCTGAGGAATTCTGGGAGTTGAAGTCCACAAGTCTTAAAGTTGCCAAGGTTGGACACCCCTGAGCTAGTTCAATGTATCTTGCACAGTTTTAAAGCTTTCTGCTCTTAAGAAAATCAGTTGAAGTACCACAAAGTGATGGAGATCTGTGTCAGGCTTTCATGAGGGTGGAGACTGAATTCAATGAGGTTACACGGGCCCTGTCCTGGGTAATAACTTACATATGGAACAGAAACACACACACACACACCACATACACACACACCACTCTGGGAGTATTCCCAGCCCTAAGTGCTGGAGGCAGTAACTGGAGTTGGCTCGAGATGAAACTGACGATGGAGAAGAACAAGATGATGGAGGCTTTCTGTTAAAGAAGCAGGAAGAATGACAGGGCTGCCCTTCCATGGAGTGAAAGAGAACACCGCTACTTACTCCAACCCTTACTCTAAGTAGCCACTTACTCCAACCCTGTAAAAAAAGAGCAACCCGACGCCGGGGATGAAATAAGCAAGGAGGAGAGAGGATGAATCGGGTCCTCTCCAGGTATACCGCTTAGGGCCGGCAGGAAGAATATTTATGCCACCTGCCAAAGCCAGGTAAGACGGGTCAAACCCGGGACTTCATTCGCCTCTGCCACGTTACGGGCAAAAAGGGCCGGGAGAAGCGGCCCCCTACAGCGGGGCGGGGCGGGACGAGAGCAACTTACTGGCACAGCGCAGCGCCCGCTGCTGCACAGCCTCCCCGCACAGGTCGCACCAGCCCCTCCAGAGAGTGAAGCCTTGGAAGCGGTGCCCTTCTCCCTTCTCCTCTCGCACTCGGGGGTCCCGCGGCTGCTCGAAAATGGTGCGCACGTCGGGCAGGAGGCGAGGAGCTCCGGACCTCAGCCGAAGCCGCTGGTGGTGGTGGTGCTGTTGGCCGGAGCGGAAAGGCTTAGCCGCGGGGCCGGGGGAAGCGGGCAGCTCCCGGGGTATTAGCGCAGCCTCTTCTCCGGGAAGGATGGGAACCGCGCGAACCTCGGCTCCGTCCTCAGCCGCTTGCCCGACGGGCGCCTCACGCTCGGCTTCCGCTGCGCTCCCGAGGGGCCTCCCGCGGCAGGAGGCGAAGGGCAAAGCTCCGCGGCACTCCGTAGGGCGCTCTCGCAGAGCCTCGGCGCGTCCCGCCTTCGCGGCCAGCACAGCGTCCTTCTCCAGCCCGCTACCAACGTCCGCGCCCCACTGGGACATGGCCCCCGCAGCGCGGGGAGGCTGCGGCTCTTCTTGCTCCTGCGGCTGCCTCCGCCTTGGCGGCGGCGGCGGCGGCTTCATGTCATTGGAAGCGGAGCGCTTGAGGATCTTCTTCCGTTCGTTGGCGCTCAGGCTCTGCAGGAAGAGCTGCTGTTCCTTATCCAGCAGCAGCGGGTACGGGTACTGCCCGATGGCCGGGGAAGCCATGGCCCTGGCGAACTGGCGGCCGGCCCCAACAGCTGCGACCTGCCGGCGGGTGGCCAGCAGCGCAGGCGCTCTGAAGAGGGACCTGCGGAGGCTTGCGAAGGAGAGGGAGGGTGGAGCGAGGCAGGGAGGGAGGGGGCGGGCGAGGAGCCCCGCGTCGCGCAAAATTTCCCAATGCTGGCTTGGCCCGGCTTCCAAATTGGTTGGCCTCGCCAAACGGAGTCCCACGCTTCAATCCGGAATCCATCCCCTTTCCCCTGAGTTGAGCTTGCTAGAAAAATTGGACCGTAGGAAAGGAGTGTCATTCTGTACGTGCTCAGAGGTAAGGGACGGGACCGGCTGTTGGCCAGGTTCTTCATTCTACAGCTCGGAAGATTTTCTTCCCCGAGGTTTAGGGCGAGTGAGGGGTGGGGTTAATCTGAGGTTAATCAGATTAACCCTGGTTAATCTGAGCCCTGGTTAATCTGAGCCCTGGTTAATCTGAGCCCTAACTTCATCCTCGAGGATTCATGAAATAATAGCTTTACTGACACACAAGTTCCCCCTTCTTACCTGTGGTACCACAAACAAAACATGTGCTCAGTCGTACAAGATTTGCAGATCAAATCAGTGGAAGCTCTTAAATTCATAGCTGGATATATTCAAGGCTTAATAAAAGAGGTGGTGAGTAACAGGTAGTCCTAATCTTACAACTATTTGTAATTGCAATGGCACTGAAAAAAAGTGATTACAAGGGCTTTTCACGCACAGCTATTGCAGCATCCCTGGGATCATGTCATCAAAATATGGACACATGGCAACTGCCATGTATTATAATTGCAGCATCCTGGGGTCACGTGATAACCTTTTACATCTTTCGGGGAAGCCAGATTCACTTAACAGCTGCGTTACTAACCTAAACAACTGAGTGATTCACTTTACAACAGTGTAAGTAAGAAAGGTCATTAAAACTCAACAAGTGCTTGCTTAGAAATGGAAACTTTGAGTTCAATTGTCATAAGTCAGAGCTTACCTGTATTAAGCTTGATCATAATATCTAAGCACATTATGATTTGATGTGTTGTGTGAATACCCTGAATATTTTTTTAAAGAAGTGAGTTTAACTTTCAGTACATCCAAAATGCTTTCTCCTTTCCCATTTAGAATAATAGGACAGGTTTTCTGCTCTGGAATGTATATTGCCTTAAACAGAAACAGGAAAACCACAGTGCAGTGCAGTGTGTGACCCCAGCCTGAGTTATATTAAAACAGCTGCAAGGACCTTATTCATAGAAGCTGGGCAGAAGTGCTGTGGTTGGGAAGATATATTGGCATTAAGGAATGTTGTGTTATGCAATTCAGAAACAGCACTGAACAATTGATACACGAGAAAGCATAGGCTGGGTTGATACACCGGGCTAAAGCATAATGAATTTAATTGGGATAGTTATTTCACTGTATGAACCTAAAACTTATCGGTTGAATGCCGAACACTTTTGTGACAGGGATATACACAACCCAAGTCTGCTCCCTGTTTTCTTACTCTCATTGAGTGATTTCTGGAATTTGTCAGTTGTTTAATCTCAGCTTCTTCTGGGGATTTTTGAAGAATCATGGCAGGGAAATTCCTGGCTGTATATCAGTATAAGGATGAAAGTCTCTGTCTTTCTAAGTTAACCTTTTGATTTCCCATCAAGAAGTGAAACTTTGTAGAAGGAACCAATAAACAGGCCACACAAAGAACAGTATTGGGGCTCCAAGGACACCAGCTGGACGCTGATGCCCCAGAATGAACTCTTGGGAGAAAAACAGTGAAAAGCAAATAAAAAACAGCAAAAGCAAACAAAAAATTCAGGCAAAGGCCTGATCTGGATTGGGAACATAATTTTTCAGCCTGGTGCCTCCTCAGCTAGGAATGGAAAATCAACATACCTAGAGAATTGCTGAAGTTGGTCATCACTTTAATGAGATGTACAAATTCAGCTAAAGTGGACTTTGGTTCTGTGAAGTTTAAGGATGGTTATAATTCCAAGAAACAGCTGGATCAATATGATATACTACATCATTTATTAAACCATTCTAGACATAATTTAAATCCATGTCAGCACTTTGTCGAATCTAATTTGAATGTCTGCAGCTCTGTCCTTTCTGTTGAGTGTAAAGCTGTTGTTAAATATACACGTAATGGTTTGGTGTGGCATGTGAACCTAGTCAATTCTGGTCTATTCCTCAAATCATGATTAATCAAACTATAGCTTAATGAGATTTATGAATTCAGTATGTTTTTAAAGTCTATAGGAAATATGCCTATAAAACATACTATTTTTTTTCATGCTAATTCTGCCATCCCAGATTTACTTTCTTATTTCAAATTTTACAGCCACATGTTCATGCCAGCTCTATGCCAAAGATCTCACAAAAAAAACAAGTATGAAGATTATTCCTTGCTGCCATTTTCCTGTCTCCTCTTTGCCACAAATAGTTGAAAATGTACATGATCTCTCTGGAAAAGGGACACTAATCCCATTTTATAATACAGGTAGCTTCAAAAGCACAAAATGAGCCCAAACTTTCTGTTGCTAAGTAAAACATTTGTTAAATGAGTTTTGCCCCATTTTATGACCTTTGTTGACACACTTGTTATGTAAACCACTGCAGTTATTAAGTTAGTGACAAGGTTGTTAAGTGAATCTGGTTTCCTCATAGACTTTGCTTGTCAGATGGTCGCAAATGGTGATCACATGACTTCAGGACACTGCAGCCATCATAAATATGAATCAGTTGGCAAGTGTCTGACTTTTGATCACATGACCATAGGGATATCGCAACGGCCGTAAGAGTGAAAAACACTGATATGTCGTTTATTTCAGTGCCATTGTAACTTTGAATAGTCACTAAATGAACTGTTATAAGTTAAGGACTACCTGTATTCATTCACAATATTAGGAAGACAAGAATGGCCACACACATCTCACCTTCACATATAACACTAAGCCATAGTTGAGCTGTAGTTTATTGAACAAACCACAATCATCTGGATTAACATACTAAGACGTAAACCATGGTTCACAATTCACAAAATTTGGATTCATACAATAAGCTATACCTTCCCAAACAAACTAGTATACATTACATCTTAGCATGATGTATGAGTGCAATTGCAGGGCATGTAAGTTGTTGTATTTCCAAAGAATTCATCAATAGGGAGGTTAACAATTCCAAGGGCATGATGTAATGTAAACAGCAGGAAAATGTAAATCATTATTCATGTACATGCTAGAATTTCATGCATAAGCTCTGCGCAGAGTTGGTCAGAGGATTGAGCAATGGAGGACTGAGCATGTCAGAGAAATTATTTTACTGAAAGTCTATGGAGATTCTCAATCATCCAAGTCATGGTTGTCCCCATGGTTTGGGACATCCATGACCTGGATGACTGAGAATCTCCATAGACACAGAGGCACAGAGCTGAAGAAACTTCTTGGATGAGAAGCAAAATGTCTTCAAGAAAAACCAGAAAGTCCAGTTGCCTCTTGAAATTTTGGGACTACTTTACCAAAACACAATTTGAACCACATGGCCCTTAATTACCAGCATCAGGTCCTAAAAAATCCCAACAGCTAGGAAAACTTGGCAATATTTATATTATTCACCAGAGAACCAGTGTGGGATAATGGTTAAGGCATCAGGCTAGAAACCAAGAGATGTGAATTCTAGTCCCGTCTTAGGCACCCAGCCAGCTAGTTATTTTCTCTCAGCCTTAGGAAGGAGGCAATGGTAAACTATTCTGAAAACCTCACCAAGAAAACTGCAGGCACTTAGTCTCCAAGATCAGACATGATTGAATGGAAGGGGGGAAAAATCACAAAATGCAAAAATAAAGGAGATACAATGTTTAAACAAATGTAAACGCACACTTGGTTTCCCCAGTGACAATCTATGGAAACCAGTTCTTGGACTTCAGACAACCTGGATATAAAGAGTTTGAAACTTCTGAACTTTGGTATTGGACTCCAGAAAATATAATTAAATATATATTACAGTCAAAGTGAACAAATGGATAATTGAATAATTCATCAATGATGAGGCTCAAGTAATCTTACTCTGTGGACACTATTTTGGTGTTTGTGTATGTGCATGTGAAAATAGTCAAAATGATGGTTGCAACCAAACTATCAAAATCCCATCCCTTTTCAATGGGCTTCGTACCAGCAATACATGTAAAAGTAAAAAAAAACAAGATTTCAGTCATGTTGTTTTTGACCACCTCAGAAATCACATCTGCCAGAGGGTCACTTTTAGCATCATAAAATTGTTTCCTGAAAACAGCCCAAATGTTTTATTCCAAAGAAACAACTTGATGAATCCAAAACAATTTAAGCCATAAATTATAAAAGCATGAAAACAACATCATTTTATTTCTCAGAAGAGCTAACAAGCTTCTTCTGGGTATTTGCAAGTAGCAGATAAATTCCTCTCCTGTTATTGTTGTCTTGAAAATAATACATGGAGGCATGCTGCCAAAAATACCACTGAATCTTCAAGAATAATAGCCAATGAAATATCTGTATTCCTTCCATGAATTTATCACATCTCTTTTTAAAGCTATCCAAATTCAGCACCATCATCACATTTTGTTATTAATTCTACAGGTTAATTACATACTGTGTGAAGCTTTTTGTTCCTTGAGCAGATGAAACAGAGCTCCTAATCAGCTTATTCAATTTCATGATTATTACAATCTCCTGATGCACTTTTCTGCATTCTACATGTAGTTTGGTCATTCTCAATCTTGTCTATTTTTACCAAATGAAGAATTCCTGATTATGTTGATTGTCCTCTTCTCACTTTTTTTTTAATCTTTATTCTGTTCTTTTTCAAATGAAGACAGCAGAATTCTACACATTAATTTTAGATGTGGATGTATAATGTTAAGTTACAATGCCTATGTTCTTAGAACATTGTCAAAAATAAGGAATCTACATTAATGGAAAGTGAAAAGGAATATAACATAAATCAGGTTATATCCTGCCAGCACAAACTATTTAAGTTTAGAAAAATTAGTATCTTCCAAATCTCACTAACAAGTTGGTTTGTTAAATAGCAAGTTGCCCTTTAGACTGCAATTCTATGGAAGAAAGACAGTAATAGCCAACTTTAAAAAGATGGTTTAGCTAATCTAGAACAAAGAATTAATCATTTTATGAATCCATGTACATATGTTCAAATTAGTTTGGCTCCGTCACTGTTTTACTTTTATACCACTTAAGAATTCCTGGAATTGATGTGATTTAGAAGTTTCATAAATAGTGTGTTTGTAGATTTTGGAGCTTTAGGACAGATATTTTACCAATTTCTTTAAAAACAGCCAAAAACATTTTGTTACTGATATTTGGCATTTTTTTTCCTGTGCATCATAACAAAGAATGGTGGGATTTCTGTGCTGCCTTTCCTAGTTCTTAAGCACAGTATATCAACTCAGACTTGTGAATTATTTAACAAATTATATTTAGAATCTTAGAGTTGTGTGAATATTTAATTTGGAGATTCAGTGTAAAAGTGAATTAGATGAATTTCCAAATGGTATGAATTTTCCAAAGCAGAGGAGAAAGACACTTCATAATGTCTAACCAAATTGGAATATTGAAAAATTGAAACAATTGGGATAATTCTATACATGCATGGAACTGGCTTTTTAAGATCAATTTCAATTTAATGGACCCAATTAAACAATTTTGTCTGAACACGCTAATCAAATCAGGTTGATTTTATGAGGCAAATCAATAATTTAAATTAAATACCGCCTATAAAATGTACTGAACCAATATATTCAGTGAAGCCCATCCAATCCTCATCTGATTAAGCAGCAGACCTAATGGTGTAATTCAGCTCCACAAGGTCATGCATTCTCTATCCATTAGGCCAAAGTGACTTGAACTCTCAGTCAAATTATTCCAGGGCAAGAAAGATATCACCCCATTGTCATCAGATCCCATTTTGAATTTGGTGAGCCTATTCATCACATCTTTCAGCTTGTTACTTCCCTATTCTGGTTGTGAAGCATGGATTTTTCTGAACTTGTTTGTATGCAGAATAGATGAATGGGTAAGTGGAAGTAGTTTTATTTTCATTTCTCCATTTTAAAGTGAGATTTTAGGAAATTCCCAATTATTTCTCATATACACGGAGCCCAGATTTCTATTACTACCCAGAGGAAATTCCCTCATTAGGAAAACCATTTCCATTGTTTGAAATGTCTTCTGCAGAAGTCTAACTTGAATACTTTTGTAGAGTCAGCCCTTTCTACAGTTTGCGGCAGCCTCTCTTATCTTGAGGTCTTCTTTGACTGCAGATCTCATTACCATGTTCAAGACAGTGATATGGGAGTTATAAGTCCCATATCACCCGTAAGTGAGTCCCAGTTCAGGGAATGGTGATCTAAGAAGAGAAGGCTGATCTAAGAGGAAACCCTTTCTGCAGGATGATTTTGCTCTGTCTTTAAATGCAGTGTTTAGAATTTTAGGACTCAGTATAGTCAAACTCTTTGGGATCTATAGGAAGAATACTGTAGATAGAAATAAATACCTTATGTCATAAATAAATTTATTTTATTTTATCTCAGCTTTCCTTTGGTTTCCAGAAGTATAATTTAGGGTTCTTCTGCATATTTCATCTTCACAAAAACCCCGTGAAGTTGTTTAAGCTGAAAGCTAGTGGTTAGTCCTATGATGATGATGATGATGATGATGATGATGATTGATGATGATGATGATGATGATGATGATGATGATAGTGAATTTCCTGGCTGAGTAGGGATCTGAAATCTGTTTCACTGTGCACTCCCGCCCCAAGTAAAGAACTCCTTACAAATGGTGCTAGAAAAACAGTAAATATATTTACATTACCTACACAGAAAAGATATTCATGTATATCACTCATTAAAAGTTCTGTTGTATTCTTCTATTTTTGCTTGTTCTCCACACCTTTTCTCTTTAAAATGTGGAACGGAGAAACCTTTATCACAATTCAACTCACTGAAGTATAAGAATAAGTAAAAAAAAAAAAAAAAAGATTTAACATGTAAAACGTAAATGACGGAACATGTTTTTAACTGTTGAGACCTATTGAATAAACAGTAAAATGAGTTCCCAAGCAAATCTGTCAGCATTTAACATGAATGCTTGAATAAGATATGTATTTTTACCTAACCATTTCCCAGATAAGAAACAGGGTGTTTTTTTCTCTTCATAAAAGCACATGCTCCTCCCTCCTATAGTTTTCTATCGTCCTCATGAAACACATAGGCATGCACACAAGTGCACACACAAAACTCTTGCTAAAATCCTCTGTGAATTCTTCCATTAGGTTAGGGATTTCTATTACATTTGCTTTTATTTTGCACAAAAGATCCAAATGATGCTTTAAAAACATCTCTGCCTACATTCTAAGAAAAATGGGTGGAATGCATTTCTGGTTAATTTATTTCAGCACGTGCAGCAGAGTCACAATGCACATTCATCGGTGAATAACAAATTTTAAAGAAACATGGGTGAAAACACCAATTGCACTAAAACAAAGAAGTGGAGAAACACATAGGCACTTTTTGTCCAGGCATGCCAACATTTATCTGAGTCAGAATGATAATTACATGCTACGAAAGGGTGAACATCCAGACCAACAAGCCAAATACACTCACCAAAGAAGACTCCCATTTCCTGTACATGGTAAAAGGCTTTTTGGCTGTTCAGTTATGCAGTGAAAGAGATTTAGGTCAGACTGTGCATTACTGTAAAAAGTGATATTATACCATGGATAAATATATACATTAAGCAATTTCTGTTTCATGTCCATAGAGCCATGACATAGTTGACAAAAAGGCTACTCTAAAAAGAGTGACTAGATGCAGCAGCATCTTTAAAAACAACAAAACTCTGTGTTAGAAATGTTAAAAATACAGGACCTGAGTTATGGTTAATGTTTTTTGCTTCGAGGCCAGAGGTGGTATTCAGCAAGTTCTGACCAGTTCTGGAGAACTGGTAGCTGAAATTTTGAGTAGTTCAGAGAACTGGCAAATACCACCTCTGGCTGGCCCTGTCCCCATCTATTCTCTGCCTTCTGAATCCCAGCTGATTGGCTGGGACTTCTTTTGTTGCCCTGCACAGGAGAATGGAGCTGGAAAGCAGGTTAGTGGGGTGCAGAGAGAATAGAGATTTTGCAGTAACCTTCCCCTGCCATGCCCACCAAGCCATGCCGCGCCTACCAAACCACATCCACAGAACCGGTAGAAATTTTTTTTGAATCCCATCACTGTTCTAGGCTATCCACATCAGCCAACTGCTCTGCAATTTTTCTCTCACTCTAGATGTGGAACTCTACATCCAACATCTGGAGAGCATCAGGTTGGAAAAAGCCTACCTTTCCTATCTTCTTAGGTCTGACTAATATCACCCTTTTGGAGAGGCAGAATGAACAGGTGCCACAGGCTAGAGGTAGCAGATTCATTCCTCAGAGGTCTGCAAAAGCTTTGTATGTTTGGGAAGATTTCCATACAGATTCCTTCTTCCAAACAGAGATTGATGCTTGCTGGAGAATAACAGTGGACTAGAGGGAAAAACAACCAACAGATCTGCTATCAAAGTCCAGTGTGTTACTAGAGACTTTGAAAGAGAGAACTAAAGACTAGTTCTCCAAGTCTATTGCACTTCAATACCCATCATGTCCAACCAGTATCTTACAGCCATTGCTCACTGAAAGTGATGGAAATTCAATGCTGAAAAAAGGCCAATTTAAAAATCAAGAGAACGAAAGTGAAATATAAGCTGGTTTCATTCATTACTGTAAATCGTGGTGTAGTGTGGTTTGATTTTGATTTAGCTTGAGGTAAATCAAGGCCCAACCATTGTTGTTTATAAGGCTGTTACAACTGATAAGCCATGGATAAAGCGTAGGTAAATGTTATATAAACCAGGTTAGTGTCATAAGAAGTCATAATGAAACTTATTTTTGGTGTAGCACATATAAGCACACTTCTTATGGTTTCCTGGTTATGTGTCAATAAGTTTTTGTTCAACAAATCATGTTTTAAAAAAATAAAAATATCCCAAGCCGAGCTTACTCAGCTAGGTTTTAGGCCAAGAATGGATTTGAACCTAATTTCATGCCACTCCATTTGGTTTTAGCTTAATGGCAGATGCCAGCTCTGTGAATATTCATTGCCACTTAGCTGAGAAGTAGCATCACTTACACAGGAGGAAGATTAACAGTGCATGGATGGTGATTTATCTCTAAGGGGTGGGGAAAAGGATAGCCAAGGGAACGCCATTTTCTTTTCAACCATTACTTTCCTGAGCCTAAAATATTTATTCTCAAAAATTGGGGGTGCTACCCTGACATTCAACACAGCCGTTCCTTTTTCTATAGGTGATATTTATCACTGAAATTGTTTGTGCCATCTGCAGCTTGGAGACCCTGCAGTTTGGAGGGGAGGGGCAATAAATCACTTACCCAAGCAGGCTGAATCAGTTGCAAGGTTGGAATATTGCAGCTGCTTCTCCAGTGGCAAATAGCTTCCTGATATCATCTGAATGCTTGGCACTCCAGGGACCGGGTGATTCCTATATCATTGTATGACACATTGTGGCTGCTGGCATACAGCTGAGGCAGCCTCTGGGGATTACATAGGCCCTTGCAAGGCCCAAGATTAAAAAATGGTGAGAGAGAGAGGGAGAGAGTTCTTGACAAATTCCTGAAGCTAACAATCAGCAAAGCCCATATGGAATTTTTCACAATGGAAAAGATTGCCAGCCCCGACCAAAAAGGAACCATACCAAAAGAAAATAAACATATTACAAAATGTACTGAAGTAATAGTTTGTCCAATTTTCAGTGGTCTGATGAAGATCAGGGGTTGCAGATCTATGACATAACTCATCTTTAATGTTTTCTATAGCTTTTAGCTACACAGAAGATAAAAAACGTGTTCATCAAAATGACCTGGGAAATTTCTTTCCAATCTCATACTGGCAGGGTGTTAGAAAGGCAGTTCATTGCTATCCAAGTAGCCAGGAAGTCATGCAAGTCTGGTACAGACTGTCACCAAGTCGTATACTATTTTTCTTTTTGATAAACAAAAATCTGAGCCTTTACAGGATTCAGTCTTCCCCCTTCCCCTGCCCCAATTTGAATTCTGCAAGAGGCTGACAAACCTTCTCTAAAACTTGAATTTGGGATCCTACTTGCAATAAATGCATCACATTCACTATATTTGCATACACTTTTTCAGCACATGTGCTCAAAATCATTTTTTCCTCCTCCTCCTTCTTTAATGCTGTAGTTTGTTGACCAAGACTGTTTTCATAAGGGTTATTTCAAACATTTGTTGTAGCCTGTTGAGTCACAAACATGCCACAGGTACCAGGGTCTATTTTGTCATCCATAGACACAATTGTGATTGCCTCTTGGCATATTTAAGTTTTCCTTTAGGCAAAAATCAAACTACTGTATATAACATGGTAGCACAGACACTGCTGATTCCATGGAAAAGGTCATGTGCAGTTGTAAGGGCTACATGCTCAGTAGATGGTAGCACATAGCCAATCTTGACTGATCTTGAAAAAGTTAAAGCTTAGTTTGTCCTGGGATGGAAGACAACCTAGAGACCTAGGATGCAGACAATGACAAACCATTTTTGTACTTTAGCCAAGAAAACTATCTTTATAGAAGCAGCAGGAGTCAAGCTAACTTAGGGAAATCGTTACGTGTTTAGGACAACTGAGCAGAAAAGCTCAGTGATTCTGTTGTGGTCTGATGTATACATAGGTTTACGTATCTAGGAGGCCATACATGCAATGACATGTCAAAAGCAAGTTCTAAGGTGCTGTAAGAAACTGGTGCTCTGGGATCCAGAGGGACCTCTTCCTATATATTAGATGGAACTCTCCAGGATCACTACTATATGGAATACCTCAGATTCTATTCAACTATCTTGTTTACTTAGTTATCTATAAAAAATGAACAAGCAGAAACAGTTAGCTTAATACTTGTGGAATACTCATGGAATGAGAAGTGAAGGAAAATGAGGAAGAAAAATACAAACAAACCTGTAAGTTGAACATCTATCTGCATATCTTTTCATCCTTCTGTCCACTTTTGTTTGTTTGTCTGCAATAAACTGTCCATCTAAATATAGTAAGATCTTCTCAAACCAATATAAAGCTAGGAAACTTTCCAGAATATTTTATTGAAGTGGTCTGTGTGGCTTGGATAACATACGAACCTTATTAAAGCTGAAAACACAAACTTAACTTGTTCTGGCTGTCCTCCCTCTATATCTTGTATGAAGAGATGCCACAAATATGGAGAAACATCAACAGCCTGTTCTGTGAAGATGTGATAAAAGCAGAGAACTAAGCCCTCCTTAGAGCCCCACTATATAGATTTCACATGGGTCTTAAAAATGTCCCACTTTATGTTCAAATGACTTTATCCAAGATTTCCACTATTTTGCTCTAGCTTCCTGCCTATCAGGGTTAAAGTTGCCAAGGTTGGAGACCCCTGAACTAAAGGATAGCTTGAGATACAGCAGGTTACTGGCAAACTATCTGTGTTGTGATCTCACATTGTATGCCAGGACCTTGTGAAAGGTTACAATGACAAGACAAGGAAGTAAAGAAAGAGAAGATTGCCTGAGGGTTGTTTTTTTTTGGCTTGCAATAAACTTTAAGTCCAGCTAAATATAGTAAGATCTTCTTAAACCAATATAAGTAAGACAAAATAAAAGTTGGTTTTTAAAAGAACATAGATTATAAGTTATGGATATCTTGATTGGTATATAAAAAAATTCTGTATAGCCCGTATTATAGTTTTTCTTTTCAAAGCAAAATATTTATTTTCTGCAAATGTATTTGTTTCAGCCTTGCCTTCATTTATGGGTATTATTCAGTTTGTATTTTTATAAAATATTTTTTCTTTTTATAATATGTATTTATGAGTTGTGTGGCATAGTGATTTGTATTGTTTTTATTTTGCTTATTTATTTTTACAGGCTTTGGATATGTTGCCTCAAAGACTGCTTCAAAGCAAAATTGTATCTTTTACATCTATACAAGGTTACTTTAATCAAAAACATCAAGATATGGTATATGGGCATGTAAGCATTAAAACATTTATCAAGGATTACAGATGTGGAATGTCCCCAAGGTACCCTTCTTTTTGAGTTACTGTAATAATTTATGATGGACTGACAGTGATAATTTCTTGAGGTCTGTTACCTCTTAGGCTGTTGTTCACAGATGTCCTCTGAGTTGTTCTCTACATGACATGATGTATCACCTTTTAACTTACATTTCCCATTGGATTAGAAGCAGTAACCTCATAGACTCATGGTGATGATTGCTAATCTTATGCAAGCATTCGGTTCTTCTGCTAGAAAAAGAACTCATGTGAGTGATAACAGTTGCTTCATTTGTAGCAATGGTGGTTTTTAGAAAATTGCCAAGAAATGTAGTAAACAAGTCTCCTAGTATAAGCGTATACTCTTCATTTATCAAATAATATCTTTTATTTTTCTAAAATAAATATTAGTACTTTCCTCATCTATCAATAATCCAGGTGGATGCTTACATACTCCCGGACTTTGCATTACTACGTGCAATTGATGTGGGATTTCTATATAATGTTAAAAAAAGTAAATTTATAGATTATGAAGGAGCTACTAAATACATCTATTTTGAAATTAACTCATAGTTGAGGAGTGATTCTGATCCACAACCTGCCCTTTTTAAATAGCATCTACCTGTGGAACCCTTTCATCTGAAACCCGGTGTGCCCCCTTCCTTTTAACCTTCTGGAAAGTCATAAAGGGCTGCTTTATCCCTCAGGTACTGGGATATGTTTGGGATAAGGTTGGAAGGAGTGTATGGATTGGAGATGGTTGGTTTGTGTTTTATTTAGGGATCTTTCATCCTAAGGTGATTTTTAAAACTTTTAAAAATATTCTGAGTGGCCTAGTTTTTTCCTTTTATTATGAGGAATCTTCATGTAGACATGAGCTGTTAGAAATGGAAACTTTGCTATCCAAACATCTTCCCAGAGGGGGAAAACTATCTTTTATATAGACCACATATTCAACTCCCCAGCCAGCTTTCTGTCCTCCGGTTGCCAAGGTTGGAGACCCCTGCTTTAGTTATCTGCACCAGAAAAACCAATATCCTACTCAAGAGTTCACAATAAATTTCCTGAAAAGATAATTAATATGAGATAGTATGAAAAAGAGGAGAAGGGAAATACTGTTGGTCCTCAAAAAGATCCAAGACACTCCCATCTGAAGTGTTTATCATTCTTTTTATACTACTTTACTTTACTTTTTACTTTACTTTACAATAGTAATACTGATGCTATTCTATGCTATACTATGCTATGCTACTTTATAATTCAAAATCCTCCCAAATCAAAGCCTATCCAAGATGCATAATTAAGCCAAATGAGTAAACCCAAACGCAAATCAATTTCAGTGCTGGAATTTTTTGCATAGGATTATTCTGCAATTTCAAGTATAACTTGAGCATTTTAAATAATACATGTTAAACAGATTAGAATTATACAGATTAAAAATAATCAATTCAATTCAAGTTGCTGTTGGGGAGAGGTTTGTAGTTGTGTAAATGGGGAAAAATATCACCCTGCTGGCATCCCAACATTTCTGTATCTGCAGTTAAAGATCTATTCAGAATCTTCAGATGCTTCCTTATCTCGGATGCTTTCCTAAAAAAATAAGATGGCTACTATCTAATTGTTATTAATTCGTTTATATATCAATGGAGACTGTGTGGAAAGAGTTTATAGTTTTAAATTTCTAGGAACTCATATTTCCGACAACCTTACTTGGTCGGTCCACACTATGGCCGCTGCAAAGAAGGCCCAACAGTGCCTGCACTTTCTGAGGTTGCTGAAAAAAAATGGTTTGGGTGAGAAGTTGCTGGTTACTTTTTACCGGTCCACCATCGAGAGCATTTTGGCATACTATGTAACGGTGTGGTATGCTGGATGCTCTGCAGTGGATAAGAAGACACTCCAGAGTTATAAACACAGCACGAAAAATCATTGGTTGCTCTCTTTCTTCTTTGGAAGAGATTGCGAAGACCAGACTCCTCTTTAGAACACTAAAAATCTCCATAGACCATTCTCATCCTGGACATTCATATTTTGATTTGTTACCATCAGGGAGGCGTTGTAGGTGTCTTAAAATGAGGACTAATAGATTGAGAAACAGTTTCTTTTCCAAGGCAGTAATTGTCTTGAATCAAATAGTGCATCTGTGATTTAGTCCTATTATTATTATAATTATTTTAATTTTTAAAAACTCTGTAGTGTGATTGTGATGTGGTATTTGGGGCACTGTGCTGGAATAGCTTTCAAATTTCATTGTATTCATGAAATGCAATGACAATAAAGGTATTCTATTCTATTCTATTTTGATATCTTAATGCTTTCCATTATTATTGTTCTCGGTACAAAGGTCAAACAGCTGGTGTTTACCGCTAGTGGTGCTAAATGTTGTAACATGAATATGTGGTCTATATAAAAGATAGTTTTCCCCCTCTGGGAAGATGTTTGGATAGCAAAGTTTCCATTTCTAACAGCTCATTTCTACATGAAGATTCCTCATAATAAAAGGAAAAAACTAGGCCACTCAGAATATTTTTAAAAGTTTTAAAAATCACCTTAGGATGAAAGATCCCTAAATAAAATACAAACCAATGCAAAATATTAAGAGAAATTATTTTTAAAAAGACATAACAAAGGAAAACTGAACAAATTCCACATTTTCCAATGTGTCTTGAGGTTATAGTGGAGAAAATTGGTGAGTTTTCTTTGCCGGGAATTACAGCAAAGACACACACAACAATGCTAGGAACTCTACTAGACATTACTGAGAGAGTTATAAATTGCACGGTGATATGTAGACAAATGGGGTCTATGATGGTTGTCTCCATAGGAGAGCCATTTATTTTTTCGAATGTATATAGCCACCTATCTTAATCAAATAACTGGGTGACAAGGCATAAAAACAAACATTCATAAAAAAAACAATGGAAAACACAATAAAAGTCACAGGTAAAAATCATTAACTCCTCAGTCCATACAGGATAGAAACATAGTTCATCAATATTCTGGCCGTAAAGCTTGAGAGAAGAGCCAGATTTTTAAAACTTCACCAAGGCCCAAGATGGAGAGGTCATCCATACCCCCAAGAAGAGAAGCAGTCCCAAAGGGCAGGTGCCATGACAGAGAAAATACATTTCCTTGGTCTCAACAAACCACACTTCATGGAAAGGACCTGGTGTGTGTCCATCCTACCAGTTGTGATGGGATAGGCAGAAATCTGAAACAGCCTTGTCCCCCTTTCTAATACACTTAGATCTAAATGTTAAAAAGCAAAAAGCAATACAAAGAGCAGTTGTAGCCTATTGCTCAGGGCAGCGTCTCCTCTATTTTATCTCCCTTCAGGAGAAGCTTGTGACTGTGGTTTCTTCTGAGTAATCTTCCTTGTCCTGACTGTCCTTTCAGAGTTGGCCAGTTAGACCTGTTCCTCCTGTGCCTTCTAGGTGATAATTTTCTTTGCCCTGTGCCGCTGTGCAACCAGACACTTTCCATTTGACACCTTCTAAGAAAGGCAGAGGATCTAAAACAGGGGTGGGCAAACTTTTTGGCTCGGGGGCCTCATTGACTTTTAAAATTTGACAGATGGGCCGCCACCTGGTGTCAAAATGCCTGTCATTACAAGTCAAAATCAAATGAATGCAATCATTCAATCATTCACATCAAACCTTAATTCTGTACCAATCTTTGGCGGGCCGGATTAAAAAGACCAACGGGCCGGATGTGGCCCGCGGGCCGTAGTTTGCCCACCCCTGATCTAAAATTACTGCCAGGTTTCAAATTTGGTCTTTATCAGTCCC